TGATGTGTAAAATTTTCTAGGCAATTGCTTTTCCATTTTCCACCTCACGTGATGCATTTTCCATCAATTGGTGTGGTGAGAATTGGTATTCCACCTCTTTTTTAAATTTTTTTTCTAGCAATGAAAGCGAATTTCATTTACAATTGTAAAAAAAATCTATCCATTTAATTGACAATTTCATGAAAAACAAAGCTAAACAAACACCAAAACATTCAAAATTTTAACATTTTTCAAATGAAAAATTATACCAATCAAATATATTTAATTGACATTTCTCGCTAAAACAAGTTCTAGACAATTCAATTCCTCGAAATTCATTTTCTTTCCACTCAAATTTCATTTTTGCAATCAAAGGAACCCTTAGGACTAGATATTTTCTCGGGGTTGGGGACTTGAACCTTGACATTGATGAATTAAATTGGCAATTATAAATAATACAAATGAAATATAGTAAACAAGAAGATGAACTAGTATAACACTGTTTCTCTTCTTGTTGATGGACTGCATTATAGGGGGCATATTTGCCTTTTCTCAAGCCCTCAAGATTTGAGATTGATAATGCTTCATGTTGTCTCTATGATTAAAGTCAAAAAAGAGAAAAGAAAATAAATAAAGTAATATAAAGAGAAATTCTAATAGATTATTTGAAAAACAAATTATTGACAAGAATATAGTCATCACTTTGATCAAAAGTTATAATTCGTGGTGGAGGTTCAATTGTTCTATTTTAACCTGAATATAACCGAGACTACTCTAAGTGAATAATCTTGTTCCAAACATACTCTTGTCTTGTACAATGCTAGAGTTATTATAAAAATAAACATTTATGCACCATATATTTTCTAATCGTTAAACCAAATTTCATACATTAACGTCTCATAGACTTTAAGTCTTTCGACTTTGAGAAATCTTTAAAAAAATTCGTCGAAGGCATTAAAAATGAAAATGACCCAATGTTTTACGCTGAAAATGGTATTTACATTTTTTCACATATCATATAGATTTCAAAAATATTACCACTTATAGGATTAGTCTGACATACTAGACTGTTCATTAATTCACCTTATGGAAAAAAAAGGATATTATTTAATATATGATTTGAATTGTTTGTATTTAAATTTTTAATAAAATAAATAAGCCATATTATTGCAAATACATTCCCATCTAGACCAAAAAATAGTTGGATGGGCCCTAATATTTATTTGCAAAAAGACATTGATTTGCTTAATTTAATATTTCTTCTCTATTATTTCACCGTCAGATCATTTATAGGTGGCCAAGAGCAGAAGAAATAAAATAATTCTGCAATTATTAAATTTATTAATAAGAAGGGCAGCGTATTAAAAATCATAAAGACTTGAACGTGACATGAAATTCTAACAAACTCTCCAAATATTTTTCATATAATAGTATTTTGACTTGTTTGTTTACATCTACAGGGTGATTTATGTATAAAAATATTGAGAAAAATATTATTCTTAAGCATTTTGCTTAATTAAACAAATTAAATTGGTTGAATAGGGCGGCTAATTCATGCACGAATAGTTATAACAATGAAAAAGAAAAAAAAAAGTTTGGATTAAATTATATTGCCCCTAAGCTCCATTCTTTGAAGAAAAAAAAAATTACATTCTTAAATAGACTTTGACATCATTTCAACCACACGTTTTTCAATAAAATAATATTACTCGTAAATCTGAAGCTTTTCCTTATTTTTTAACTGCACATTTTCTATCAATACATCATTTAAAAATTCATTCTTATGAAAAGAATGATGTTCAAACAAAGGCATTGCCTTTTAATTTTACAAGTGTTTTTGTATATGTAAATTGGTAGTTGATATGAATGAGCCTGACCAACAGTAGGACACTCCCACTAGACCCCACCCCCATCCCAAGAAGGTTTAAGCTTCTCATCCCGGAATTGGAAACAGGTGCTGCTGTCAGCACCATGCAGCACCTGTTTCCTTGTGTTTTTATTTTTTTACATTTTTTGAACTAACCAATCACCTTTCGACCCGTGGCGTCTGAACCCAAAACCTGTTTTTTACCTCTGGATGTGTAACTCGGATCTTCCAAGAAAAGGAAAAGAAGAAATGGACGCAGGATTCTCAAACCTTTTAGATAGAGTGGAAATAGCTCTCTAATCTTCAAAAGTGCCACTTTTACTTCCCAACTTATATGACATTGTGAGATTGGATAGTACGTTTTGAAAATCAATAATGTGGAAGTTACAATGTCAAACGACTTTCCGTTCAACCTTAATTCATATGAAAGTCCTCTATAATTTTAACATCTACATTGTCGCAAATAGTCACCTGAGGACTCACTCGTATAACGTTAAATAGGTTGGGAGAAAAATCTCATTTTTGAAAGTTAGAGAGTCATTTCCTCACTACCTCAGAGGATACTGAGTTTAGCCCTAATTTTTCCTAAGAAAGAGAGTAACAAGAGAAGATTGGAAATGACAGTTTACAATTATTCCACAAAATTGTTTTTTCTTTCTATTCCAATTTTCTGGTGGTTCACGTGTAAAGACGTGCTTTCTTCTTCTCCTAAAGACTTGATTTGTCCATGCATTATAGCTCTATTTAATGAGGTCGATTGTAGTGCTTGTCACTTCGTATCCTGTCATGGGAATCAAGTGACCCACAATCTATCTTCCATTGCTGCTTCTTCCTCGACTGCTAAGAGCTGGATCGTTTGGATTTCATTTTCATCGCCTTTTGTTCGTGCAGACTCTATAATTTAATGAATTGTTGGCTTGTTGGGAAGAAATATAACGAATTTAAATGTGAATGTTATAAGAATATATTTATACGATTCTATTTATAAAATTTTATGAATACATAGAGACACATTAAAAAGAAAAGTAGAGCATAATCTCTTTTGAGCTCATTAGCTCGATAAAAGTATTTTCTTGATAAGAGTTAAAATAATATTTTCTGAACTCATTTTTGTCTATAAGAAGGCCTTATTGAAACATAATAAGCAAATTAAAAATATTGATATCTTTTCTAAGTTTATTTGAAACAAATGTAGGAAAAGATTCTTGAATCAAAGGCACAAGAAAAGACTCTATTGAGCACACTACACTACGTACATTTAGGATTCGATAATATCATACAATTTTAAAAAGGAAAAAGAACCTTCAAGTCAACTACTCCATAGTAAATTTGCTATGGATACATACGTATGAGAAAAGTTTTCACAGAATAGTGTATATGAATATGTGATAGGATTTTCCACTCCAATCAGGAGACTGTAGAGTTCGAATTATTTAAATCGTGACAATTCATCATCCAAGCGAATCTACACATCCAGTCTATTTTCTCTCTTACCATTTCAAACGTCAAGGATTGATATTTAAAATCGCCTCACTGAATATTTTTCCTTGTATAAATACACACATTCATATATGTATGTGCACATATTTTGAATTAAACTTTTTGAACAAATGAAATGTGCAAAAACTATTATAGGTTATGAGGCGGTAATACTTCATCAGTCGATTTAACTTTATGTTTTTTCAACGTTCAATGAAATCTTGCCAACTGATAATCTATCAAATAAACTATCAAACATTTCTATATAGGTAGCATTTATGATATATTTTTAGGAAATTGTTGCTCAATCAGGGATAAAATCCCGGGTTTGGAGCCAAGGGCCGAGGTGGCAAAACCTCGATTGCCACCTCGGCTCCCGATGTGAATCGTGCGGGCCCCACGTTGGGTTCTGAAGCTTCTATTTTTGTGAGGGTTGGGTATCTGAATCTTGGGGTTGGGTTTTTTTTTTTTTTTTTTGGGGGACATGGCATGAGGAAGAGCGGCTGTCAGTGTGTAAGAAGAACCCTCTTAGCCAGCTGTATCAAAGCTGTTGAATGCCATATATATGTGTGTGGAATTCAATGAGGTATAAATAACCATAAAATTTAAACCAACAACACTGCAATTCACTCAGAAAATAAGGCTGTGGTTGGTTTGCCATTTTTGACCCATTTTCGTTTTTCATTTTCGAAAACGCGAAAAAAGTGTTTGGTCCGTCAATGAGTTTTTGAAAACGAGTTAAAATTTATAACTGAAAACGCAAAACGACTTTTTAGCGTTTTCAGCGTTTTCAATTATAAATATCGAAAACGCTCAAAATGCGAAAAAACGGGCCATTTTCGGGGAAAACTAAAAATCTTTTTGAAAATGAAAATGGAAACCAACCGCACCCCAAGTAAAATCTGTATTAGACTAAACTTTACTTCGATTTCCAAATTAGTAGCAATAATAAATAGATATGTTATTTAGTCAAATACACTTTTATTCTCCATAAATTTAAAGTAATTTCATTTTGGTTTCGGATTCTTTGAATTTGTGGTCAAATAAAGTAGAAAAGAAAACGAGGGAACAAAGCTGAGAATTGGCTTTCAAGAGAGACGGGAATAAACAAAGTAAAAAAGCTCTACTAGCCAATACCAACAAATAAATACCCTTGAAAAAATATTACTTGAGAAAGAAAAAAAGTTAGCAAAAGTAAAAGGAAAAATTATTTTGTATAAAATTGTTAGTAACTTTTCAGGAGATATAAAATAATGGATCACAAGTAATAGTAAGAAAGAAAATATTAATCTTCAATCTTTCGTAACGTATGTGGGAGAAAAGACTGGATATAGTTCGATCACATATTTTATTGATTATACTATTTTGTCTAATTGAAACATGCACTCATTGAACTCAACGAAAACGAACTAAGAACTTGAGTATTTGAGATTTACTATTCAAAATTGACTATCTAACTTGCTTTTTATCCGGTGATTTATTGACATACCTCTTTAAATTAACATTTTTATCTTTTCTTCATTGTCAGTTATGCTTAAAAATAAGTGTAAAATATGTGATCAATGGATCATTGTTAACAATAATTTGAATAACTAATTTTAAACAGTAAATTTCAACTTGAACTTGAGGTGCAAGGCAAGTATATAATTTTGTCATAATTAAAAGGCAAAAAATAAAGCCAAAATGGTCAAAAAAAAAAAAAAAGATTTTATAGACAAAAAAAAACACCATTTTTTTCCTTAAATATTTGTCAACAATGATGATGTTGCAACAACTGGCTTTCAAAATTACCAGAAAATCGTATTCTCAATCATATGATTATCACCAAAAAACCCACAATCTTCGTGCAACCACGGGTGATTATAGTCCCAACCCACATCCTCGGCGAACACAAAATCCGCCGCTCGATTCACCACCACAATGTCGTCGTAACTTGCCTCCAAACTCGGAAGCTCCACTATCTCGCTCAACTCCTCCTGCGCCTCCCCGCTTTCCGTCGAAACATCCTCCGACTGTACGGACGACGACGTCACTGTCAAGGACGATACGAGCGACGTAGAGGAGGAAGATGACGCCATCGACGGCAAAAGTGAAGCCATTTCCGGCAGGTGGTCCATGTGAGCCGCCTTGTTGGCTGCGGCCTGGACGTCACGTGGGGAGCACGTGTCGGGGCGAGGCAGCAAGTGTGAGATTTCAGGGAAGTTTAAAATAGCATTTTTGCCTTTAATGGCCACAGCTGCTACATCGTGGGCTCGAGCCGCCATTTCCGGGTTCGCGAAGGTTCCGAGCCAGATCCGAGATTTCTTCCGGGGCTCCCTTATTTCAGAAACCCATTTGCCCCATGCCCGCATTCTCACTCCCCTGTAGACCGGATGCTTGCTATTAGCATTATCATTTCCAGTTTTGTTCCTCTTTTCGCCATTGATTATTTCTTCATCTCTGCGTCGCTTATTAGGCTGGGATTTCTTTGTGCACGTGTGCTTATTTGATGAAGAAATTGAATGGCTACTTGACTCCGCCATTGTTAAACTGGTTGATCGAATCTTATGCACACACACATAGAGAGAAAGAAGAGAGAGAGAGAAGTGGTTTGCAGGAGAAGACTAGAGCTAGAAGAAGCATGTGAAGAGCTGTGAAGGGTTGAAGATGTATTTATATGTGCATTTGCATTCGTGTAAGAGAAGGAAATTATTTTAAATATTTCTTTTATTCTTGATTGTAATTTTGCGTGGTGGTAGCAAGAGAGAGAAGGTACGAAAAAGTCTGCTCAAAGTACAAACACGAATCTGGATTTCGGCCTAATAGTTACACTAATAGCATTGGAATGAGTCTATTAACTACTTGAGTTAAAGAAAGATAAAAATAAGTGATAAAAATTTAAGAGGAAATTTTACGAAATGTTCATTTTTAATTAGTCATTTACAAAAATGTCCATCATTGCAAGAAAGTCTAATTTGAAAGAATTTAGATCAAAATATCATTATTAACAATTTATAATTCCACACTAAGATAAAAAAAATGGGCATTTTTGCAATATTGTTATTGGTCAATAAAATTTTGACACATAACTTGCCATATTTATTTTAAAAAGTATACATGTCAAATCACAATAAACGCTACGTTTTTCATTGATTCAGAAATGTTGAGAACTACATTTTTAAATGTAGAGAAATGTCATATTCAAAATGAAATGTTATTCTAGACAAATGAAATGATGTTCAGATGTCGAGAATGACATATGAAATGTCGAGAAACATTATTTTAATGTAACTTATCATGGAAGTCACTTTTCAAAATTCGTGACAAATTGATAAAAAAATCAAATGTCAAGAACGAGATTTAAAATGTGGAGAATACCATTTCAAAATGTAGCTTTTCATTAAGGGTATAATAGACAAGTTTGCACTAAATTCAAATGAGTGAACACTTTTCAGCTCATACCCTTAAAATTGGACATTCTTATACTTGTTGTTCTATCGAAATATGTAGATAAAAAGTCGATGGGATTTTATAAATATAAGCCAAACATAGAGTAAGCCTTTGTTTGCTTGAGGTTAAAATCAGTTTTTTAGTAGATTTTGATAAAAGTTGATGAAATGTGTGATTATAAATTTGTGGATCCTACAAAATGTATGGTTAAAATTAATTATTAATTTTGAGTTAGAATCCTGAATTTTGATTTCTACCAAACGGGGCAAAGTATACTTTTACATTTGATTTGTATTGTATTGTCCAATACGATGTATTCTATTTATTGTATAAAGATAGACTTAATAATATTCGATTTAATTCCTTATATTGGCTAATTCTAACATGTATGATACGGTAGATATCCTTGGATCAATTTAGTTTACATTTTTATTTCATGGATAAAGATCAAATAGGAAGTGTGAGCAATTTGGGCTACGACTTAAGGCTAAAATGCCTCGTCTAAATCTCTCATATGTACAATTTACCATTATTATAAGATAAGAATCTTGTATAATTGGTTTCACTATTAACATTTGATTAATAATTGACAAACTTTTTATACTTATTATGTTACATGATTATTTCTCTAGAAACATTGAACTATGTGTATTTTGTTTCTAATGGGAGATAAAAAAAATTCTAAAACACGTGATACTCGGAAGTAATTGAGAAAATTAATAAGGAAGATGTGAGATAGAGAAGATACTGTACTATGTTGCGTTTTTTACGCAATGTCATTAGTCGTCCAATTGACAAGTAGCGTATAGGTGTATTAATCATGTACAACACATGCACAATGTTTATGAGTCTATGTACTCCACCGAATTCGTCCTTTTTTAAAAAATAATAATAAATAAATAAACAGACAAACGTATGTATTAGATGAAAACTTGTAATGATAGATAATATATGTTCATATTTTCTACCTAAGAATAAGACGAGCTCATAGAATGCTCTTAAGGCACTACTTTAACGCCTCAAAACATATTCATAAATCAAGTAAGAGAGGAAAAATGATAGACTTTTATCTTACACTTCCATAAAATATTTCACATACATGAAATACAAATTAGAAACATAATACATGTCATGCATGAGATTGATATTTCAAAATTGATCACAAGTAACTTTATTTTACAATCGTTTGTTGCTTGTACCGATTAGTTGTCTATTTTTATCATTGAATAGTGTTTTGTCAATGCATTTCAAATAAATATAGGGTAAATAAGTCCCTCAACTTATGGTGAAATTTTACGATAGGCCTTGAACTCTATTTTGCTCTTTCATTTTGGTCATTTGAATAAAATTCCTTCATCCAACATGATTTTTAAAAAGTCAAAAATTGATTATGAATCTAAGAATCCATTTTTGAAAATAATTTGATAATTTTTTGAAAATGCTTCGTCTGATTAAAGAGTTTTGGAAGAAGTTGACATTTATGTGATTTTTCCTCAAGAAACCATTCTACAAAAAGCATAAGCTTTGCCTAATAGACCCTATAAATTTGACAAGAGTAAATAGTACAAAACGATTCTACCTTTCAATATCATGGTGAAAAACGTCGCTATCTTCCATTTTTGACATTTTCGCCCATGTTTTTGCCTTTTATCGCTCAAAATGTCATTTTCATCCATTTTTGACAATTTTACACTCCTATTCAAATAATACAAAAAGAAATGAAATTAAAAAAATAATGAGTTAATTATAACCAGTCTCAAATTTTCAAAAAACTACAAACCGGTCATTATATTCTTATCTTGACCTCCTACTTTGTATCCACACCCAAAAAACAAACAAACTTTCAAATTTTGAATCTTTAACATTTTTGGTGAAGTTTCAAAATATAAATGCATATTCAGAACCCTGAATCTATAAAACTTGACTTCCAATTTACATTTTTTTAGTCATTTATTTTTATGACTAAAAAAAAGGTGTAAATTGAAAATCAAAATTTATAGATTCAGGGTTCTAAAAATGCATTTATATGTTAAAATTTCACCAAAATGTTAAAGATTCAAAATTTGAAAATTTGTTTGTTTTTGGGTATGGATAGAAACCAAGAGGTCAAAATAAGAACATAACAACTAGTTTGTAATTTTTTGAAAATTTGAGACTATTGTTATAATTAACTCTTTATTTTTTTTCTTTTCTTTTCATTTTGTTTTATTTGAATAGAAGGATAAAATTATAAAAAAATGGATGAAAATGATTGCGCAATAAAACGCAGAAATATGAGCTAACATGTCAAAAAATGATATGTAGAGACATTTTTCACAATGACATTGAAATGTAACGACGTTTTGTGTTATTCACCCATTTTTTCATGCTATTATCTTCCTAACATCATTAATTTCAAAATTTTATTGAGTAGCTTGGCATTTATCATAATTTAATAGTTCCAATTCCATATGAAGAACAATATCGATATCATGCCGGACATTTTATAAATTATTTTTAATATTTTAACGTATGGTAACAATGTTTTAATCCTTCTATCTCACAAATATAGACCTGTTTCCATTTTCACACAAATTAAGAAAATATAATTAATATACTAGGAAATAAAGATCTTTCTTATATTTTTTTAATATACTATTACATTAAATAATTGTTTAAATAGGAATAATTCGTATATGTTAATAATAAGATACATTTGATAAGGGTATATTAGAAAAATAAGAAATCAACTATATTGTCAATAAAAAAAAGTAGTCTATAATTTGAGATAGATAAAAAGGAAAGCAAGTTTATTTTTAAAGGACAGAACGAGTATAGAGAATTTTGAAAAGTAGGATTAATGTGACTTTCCTTGTTAACTTTAAATAAGAGGGCTGTAATTGAGTTGGGCCCATAAATAATAATTAATGGTCCAATTCCAAGATAATATTATTTTGTTTTACCAAAATATGTTAACTGAATTTATGACCCTCATTAGATGCCTTCCTAGAAACTTCATGTTTTATTCTGCAATCTGAAAATCTTTAATTACCTTTTGCCATATAGAGAAGAGTAATTAAATAAAAGAAATTACTGACAAATTTCATGGTGAGCATTCAATGAGTTCAATAAATAAAGGTCGGGACAACAATAACAAATCTTTACCGAAAATGGGATAGGGTCTCATTTAAGGGGGTAAAGATTGGTTTATAAATAAGTGTTAATATTATAGCATTTACTTCCCCAAAACAAAAATTCCATTTTACAAAATTTTCGAAGGAAACCCTAATTTCCATAGAAATCTCAATGCATTTCCCTCCTCGACCGATGTTATGTGGCCTCCTCCCGACCTCTCCACTCTATGATTGAATTTTTAGTGGGGGCGGGCGCACCATGTGGTGGCCCACACACCTTGGGGGTGTCTCTTAGGCCACTAGCCGAGTTGACACACCCTAACAGTGCAACCACCCATCGAAGTTTCTCTCCTACTCTACATATCCCTCAGTGTTTTGCCATCTAATTACCCTTTTCCTAAAAATTTGAGAGAGAGAGATTGCGTATTTAAAACGAAAACATTTTGGAGGTCTACCATTTTTCACTTTGACTAGTGAAAAATGCCCTAAAAAATAATTTACCATTTTTCGCTTATAAATTATCCACTAGAGAAACATTGTACCATTTGGTTATTGTAATGTAATATTTTACAATTTTGAAAATAATAATTTTTTCCTATCTTTTAATACAATTTCAATTTAGGAAATGTTGGAAGAAGACTCTTTTAAGTGATTTTTGTTTTTGAGAAAAGAAGAAGAAGCTAATTTTCATATTCTAGCTTAAGGGGTACCTAGTAAGTATTTATAGTGCTATTATAAAAATTTTGCACAATTGAAACATGTGTATTTTTCCAATGGATTGTACCTTACCAACCATAGAATTATATTCATCTACCTTGTCAATTTATTATAGCACCTTATATAAGATTAATTTATAAAAATAATTTTTTACTACGTATAATCTATACATGGTAAAATATTCAGAAAAATATAAGATGATTATACATGATTTATTGCTGAAAAATAATAATGAAGTAGCTCAAGTTTAAAATCTAATAGACTTGTTTTATAGATAAAATCATCTATGGAAAAATATCTATTCTAATTTTCAACTCATTTAAAAGTTTCAAAAATTTAGACTTAGGCTTTGTTTCCAAAAAATAAAATAAAATAAAATGAACAG